TCTCTCTCTTTTCCTCTCTCTAAAAAATCAATACAAATTTAGGGAACAACAACAACAACAACAACAAAGAAAGCTAGTGAATGAGCTCTCCAGCGCCTTTCTCATGAAGGCCTGCCTGCCTGGAGTCTGCCGGGAACAGTGTGTGGGGGGTGAGGGACTGGCCAGTTCAGGGGCCTCAGAACCAGAGCTCCCCACACGTCAGGCTGAGAGCAGCGCCGCGTGGGCACCGAGGAGCCGTTACACGGGGAATTCCTTCCTACATTTCAGGTGTATCGTTCACTGTATTTTTTACTGCACAATCTGGCCTCCATTAGGTAGCTATGGCTTACTACCAAAGGTGACTGAAACACCATAAACTGGAATGAGCCATAAATGTATATATGGAATAGGGTTTTTCTTCAATAAGACATATCCAAATTCTATTTCTTACCCAAAGCAACTGAAAATTACACTGTCTGTTTGGTCTCAATGAAGTAGACCACATACTGAGCCTCCCTTGGTGCCTTCGCCATCATTTTCAGATTCAGGGTTTTGATGTTTGGTTATCTTTGTCATCTGTAAGCACAAAATCCTCCTGCTACTACCACAGTAAGGTCAGAGGTGCTAGCCCATCCTTGAAAAAGTAGCACTCCCCGTGTGGCCTCCTGCCTCCTCGGGAGCCCTGTCCCAGGTGGGCCGGTGTGGTGAGGATCTTGAGACTCTTGTGAGGACGAATTGTGCAGAGAGTGCTGATGTGATGCTGGGCATGTGAGTCATCCACGAAGTCGTGGCTATCACTGTGTTACTGCTGTATTTCAGCACTGAGATGCCATCGATTGTAAGTCACAGGTTTATGGACCACGTCATGTTGTGTTTTGTTTTAAAACCGAACGTGCTCTCTCACTAAGATCGGGCTTCGTGATAATTCAGGTAATCCACTCTGTGATCCCCTGCCTGAAGCAGGGAGGTCAGAAAGGGAGTCCCGGTCAAGTGCAAAACATACCCTTAAAAAGACAGGATCAGAGTGCGTTGGTTTGAAGCAACCCGTGCTTTCCGCTCGTGTGGCCGCTAAACTCCGTCTGCCAGAGGCTGGAGGTGGATAAAATGCCATGAAGGTCCTTCTCACCCCAAGGTTCTAGATTTCCGCATAGTTTTCCCATTTCATCAGGTAATTATGCTACATGTTTGATCAGTGAGTTATCACATTGCATTTTTTTAATATTTATTGATTTTTTACAGAGAGGAAGGGAGAGAGATAGAGAGTTAGAAACATCGATGAGAGAGAAACATCGATCAGCTGCCTCCTGCACATCCCCTACTGGGGATGTGCCCGCAACCCAGGTACATGCCCTTGACCGGAATCGAACCCGGGACCCTTCAGTCCACAGGCCGATGCTCTATCCACTGAGCCAGACCGGTTTCGGCAATCACATTGCATTTTTATTGTAATGAAACTCTTATTTCAAAGCCTCTTTTTTTGTCTGGTCAACATTCCTTTTCATCATCATATTTGAGGTGATGTAGCAATCCGGGCCCTCCAAGTAATTACCCTGCATCTTAGTAGCAGTCTTTCTGAAGTGTTGGCATCGTGCCTCATGTGAAAGACATATCCATGCCAAACACCTAAACACGACATGGTTTTCACTTGGTCTGCGAGTTGGCAATAAATAAGGAAATTCTCTACTAACTAAATGCCATATCTACTTAAATCATCTAATATGATTTTGAAAACAGTAGCTTGCTTAGATGAATAGTCTATAAAGTAGTAGCAACTGTTTTAATGCCGAAATGACCACAGAGCACACAGATGTTAAATTATATACAAAGGATCTTTCCTTTTTATACGCCATAGGGCTTTCTCAATGGCTCTGAAATCAACTTGAAAATATGTCCTCTCCTGCCCTGGCTGGTGTGGCTCAGTTGGTGGGGTGTTGTCTGTGTACCCAAAGGTTGCTGGTTCGATTTCCCATTAGGGCACATGCCTGGGTTTCTAACTTGATCCCGGTAGGGAGTGTGCAGGAGGCAGCCCATCTATGCTCTGCTCTCACATCGATGTTTCTCTTTCTCTGTCCCTCTTTCTTCCTCTCTCTCTAAAAATCAATAAAATCAATAAAACATTTTTTTCAAAGAAAATATGTCCTCTCTAGTGACATCCAGATTACTCTTCTGCCTTAATTTACTTCTTCCCATTGTTATTGAAATACAAATTCAATTTTAGATATCGTTGAGTTTAGATTTTGATAATTGTATAGAGATATCTTTGTAGTAACTAGTGGCTTATTATTCTCTGATGGTTTGGATAGGAAGCTGTTTTCACAGTCTTTATGACTCTTGAAAGGATTTTCAAGATCAGCCTAAAATAATTAATTTGTTTCTTAACTTGCCCAGTGGCATCTGTAATGGGTCACTAGAGTAAAAACGTCCTGATTCTGGCAAGCAGTGGGACATTCACGAGTGGGCATATTTGGTCTGCATGTGGGTCTAAAGCACTAACTGCGTAAGCCTCGAGTGAGATGCGTGGTGAGTGTGGGAAGGGCCTGGGGTTTAATCATCTGTTGGTTCATCGTGAAACAAGAGTGTGCGGGGCGGTGCCCAGAGAGCAGAGGTGACCAGAGGCGACCAGAGGCCGGGCTGGCAGGAGAAGTCCCAGCACGCAGGAGGGACCGCTGTGTCTCCCTGCAGGTCCATCCCCAGCCTGGTATCTCGGGGTCAGTCTGGGGCTCTCTAGTTAGCTGTGTACATTTAAAAAAATATTTTTATTGATTTCAGAGAGGAAGGAAGAAGAAGAGAGAGAAACATCAATGATGGGAGAGAATCATTGATTAGCTGCCTCCTGCATGCCCCCCCCCCCCCCCCCACGGGGAGTGAGCCCTGGACAGGATGTGCCCGCAACCAACGTACATACCCTTGACCGGAATCGAACCTGGGACCCTTCAGTCCACAGGCCGAAGCTCTATCCACTGAGCCAAACCAGCCAGGGCAGCTGTGTACATTTTTAAGTGCCTGAAATTGGCTCTCATTCAAAGGCCAGTGGTTAGGATAGAGAGAAAAGTCGAAGCCATGTTTGCATAAGGAAGAGCTGGAGGAACTGGGATGTTTTCTCTGGAAGAGAGGGCACCGACTGGCTGTCCTCACATGCAGGGCGCTGCCATGTAGCAGAGGGGCGAGCCCTATTCGCATGGCTCTGGAGGGGAGAATGAGGGCCGATGGGGCAGATCTGGGCTCAGCACAGGAATAGCGTTTTGCTGGTTATACATGTCCCTGAAAGTAGTGAACTGCCTTCCATGATTCTGGATGGTGAAGACGGCCACGCCTGGGCAGATTGTGTAAGGGATCCTGGTAAAGTCCCACAAAGCTGGACGAATGTCTTCAAAGTCCTCCCAGCTGGTTCCGTATCTCACCAGCTCTCCAGCAAACATGCTTCTTGAGCCCTCTGTTTGCTAAGCACAGTGCTGGGGTGCGGAGAACCGCAGACCTGTCATGGGGAAGACGGGCGGGGGGGTGCTGCGGGGGAGCTGGGCTTGTAAGGTCTCGGCCACGAGAAGGGCCCACGAAGGCAGTGCCTGAAAGTAGGCATTGCCAGGTAAAGAGCAGAGACAGGGCATTGCTGCGGGAGAGCCGGGCACGTGCCGAGGCCTGGGTGACAGTGCAGACGCAGGTGGATAGGAAGAGAATGAGATGGAGCAGGAGCTGGAGGAGTAGTTGAGCGTCGACCTATGAACCCAGAGGTCATGGTTCAATTCCCAGTCAGGGCACATGCTCAGGTTCAGGCTCGATCCCCAGCAGGGGGAATGCAGGAGGCAGCCAATCAGTGATTCTCTCTCATCAATGATGTTTCTCTCTCTCGCCCCCTCTCCCTTCCTCTCTGAAATCAATAAAAATATATTAAAAAAGCAAAAAAATCTGACCTTTTGGATTTTGGAGCTGAAGTTGAGGAGTAACCTAATCTGATTTTCCTGTTTGCAGGTGGCTCAGCGGGTGAGGGTAAGGGTGAGGATGAGGATGCAGATGGAGTGGTGCCCCCAGGGAACTCCCGGGCTCCTTTCTGAGTCTCAGGCTCTCACCTCCTCTGCGTTATTCTGTGAGAACACGTTCTCCGCTGTCTTCCGTGATCATTTCACTGAGGTTGTCAGGCCCACGGGACTAGTCTCTGGGGACAAATGGGTCATGTTGGCACTAGTTCCCAGATTGCACTCGTGCCTCCCTGTTGGGCTGCTCGGGACCTCCAGAGCCCATTCAGTCTCCCTGGGCCCCGTGATGCCCAGCGGGAGCTGGGATCTGACCCCCTGCTCCTTGTGTTGCCTGAGGCCGGTATCTTCTGCGCAGGCGCTGCCGGTGCTGGCACCCCACCGTGACTCGCTGAGGTCGCTGCCCAGCACCCAGGTTCCAGGGCGGCAGCCTTCACCACGCAGAGGTGTGTCCTTGCCCAGGTCTGTCCTGCAGCACAGCCACACGGTGCCCAGCGACAGTGGCGTCCATGGCCATGTCCTTTCTTTGTGCCGCTTTTTGTCACCTGGGCAGTGACGTGGGACTGAATAGGTTTGTGTCTCACAAAAGCCCCCGCATTGAAATAAGTTCCTGTGGTTTCTGCCTGCAGCCCCGAGGCTGCGGGACCAAGAGCTGAGAGAGGCACCAGGGTTTTCCCTCGTCTCGTTTCCCCCAAGATGCCCACAGGTCCCAGTCCCTGACCGCTTCCTGGCCCTTCCGCAGAGGGTGGGCAGCTCACCCTCCAGGTCATCCGACCTGCCCAGCACAAGGCTTGCCCACCTCACTTCACCCCCAGCCCTTCGGGGGCGGGGGGAGGGGTGCAGGCTGTCGGTGTCCTCAGCTGTCGAAGAGGCTGAGGCCAAGAGGGACTTGGTGACCTGCTCAGGGCCACACAGCATGCGGAGCTGAGTCCAGCACCAGACCCGTCTGGACTATTCCAGACACCAGCCATCTTACAGCCCAGTTCCCAGTGAAGTGCCTGCTTTGCTCATGTCTCATCTCCGCTTACACTCGAAATTGGCTTTTGCCTCCAGGGCTGGGAGGAAACGGTGGATGCGGCGGTTTCCCACCTCCTGAAGACCTGCCTCTCCAGGAGCTCCAAGGAGCAGGCTCTGAGCCTGAGCAGCCAGCTGAGCAAGCCCAGGGACACCAGCCGCCTGAAGAAGCACATCACCTTGCTCTGCGATCGCCTGGCCAAAGGCGGCCGCCTCTGCCTGAGCACCGACGCGGCGGCCCCGCCCGCCATGGTCATGCCAGGTGAGCGCTGCGCCAGGCCCGGTCACAGGGCTGTGTCTGTGGTCATGCTTGGGCTCCACATTTCACAGTAAGCGATGATGGAAGATGGCTTTCTCGTGTTCCCTCAGCTATCCCAGGGTAACCACTTGGTGGGAGACGTTTCTAGAATGGTATGTGTCTTTTCCCTCTGCTTTTAAACATGATCCATGCTGTTATGGATCTAACCAATAAAAAGTGGATTAGAGGATAAAACTAAATGTGATTTTGCGATACCGTATTTCTTAGATGAAACTAGCATAATGCAAGCCTCTGATGTTATCCAGATGAGGTCTGTCCTTCTGCTGTTTGCTTGGGTTGTGGTCAGCAGGATCAGGGGGTGCGGCACCAGAGGGCTCTCCCCTGTGTGGCCTTGGGCACCCAGGCCCCTCTTCCCTCCCACAGCCAGAGGGTCCCTTGGAGGCAGCAGCCCCACCCACCCCCTCTTCCCTCTTCTGTGAGCCTCTCTTAGGCCACACAGGAAGGAGCAGGAAGTCAATGAATGTATTAAAGGCAGCAGCTGCAGCTGCTCTTTCCTCCGGAAGCAAGGACCATAGTATGGGAAGCGGTGGTTTTCTCTTCTTCCTTCCCCCACCCATGCTGCTGCGCTTCCGGCTGCTGCCTTTCCCCTCCATCAGCATTTCTCGAAGGGAGAAGGAAGGCCAGCAAAAACTCAAAAAGATACGCATGGGGACAGCGGAGCATAATCCAATACGTACAGCCTGCAGTGTCTGGTCCTTCCTCCATGCCCCACTGCATATGTGACCCTGAGTGTGTGAGCTAACTTTCCAGAATCTTCGTTTCTTCGTTTGGAAGGTGGATAAAATAATCCCTCCTTCGTTGCCAGGGCCTCGGGGGTTTGTAAAGCACCCAGTACAGTGCTTGGAACAGAGACACACAAAATCCAAGCGGTAATGCTCCCCATTGTTAGAGACAGATGGATAACTCGGTCTCGGAATCTGGCGTGGGGCTGGGAATAGCTGGCTTGGGGCCATGGGGCACTATATCTGATGGTTTTAAACCGTCTTACCTTAATCCAGTGGTTCTCAACCTGTGGGTCGCGACCCCTTTGGCGGTCGAACGACCCTTTCACAGGGGTCGCCTAAGACCATCCTGCATATCAGATATTTACATTACAATTCATAACAGTAGCAGCATTACAGTTATGAAGTAGCAACGAAAATAATTTTATGGTTGGGTCACAACATGAGGAACTATATTTGAAGGGCCAGAAGGTTGAGAACCTCTGCCTTAATCACTCACAGAGAGAACCTACCTTTTATGCCAAACGAGTGTTTCAGAATAGAAGTGCCTCCTACGCAGAAGCAGTTGGAATAGTTTGTCTTCGTTTAGATCCTCTTCATCTTGTTAGCATCCTCCAGACTGGTCCTTCGGCCTCTACTCGTCCATCTTCTGTCCACTGTTGCAGGATTCTTTTTTCTAATAAATAAATATTTAGGCCCAATGAGATAGAAAATGAGAAGTACTCACTGTCACTGGCACTCTGATGGGGCCTCCCTCCTTCTTGTCAGTTGGGAAAGCAAGGAGGCCGGAGGGAGGAGGACTCTGTAAAGGAGAAGACGGACCCAGAGAAGGCAATTGGCCCCTGCGTGGCTGAGCATCTGCCTTCTCTTCCCCACGTTCCCATCAGGGCTGCTTTGGGAACGGCCACTAGGAGTCTCCTGGTGGTGCTGCCAGCAAAGGCCTGGACACCTGCTGGGAGTCAGGCCCCCTTAGTCACTTCATGATGGCACTTCAACTCGAGGACTGAGCCCTTGACGCAAAATGTTAACTGTATGGGAGGAAGGGGCAACGAAAGGAGGGAGAGAAGGAAGGAAAGGAGAAATGAAAGAAGGTTGAAAATATACTGTTCACAAGCCAGGCATCTGTAGCCAGGTCTGCGCCTCCATGCAGGCCCAGCCGCGTCCAGGGAGAGGTGGAGGCTGCTGCACCTGTGCCTCTGTCGGGCTCGTGGCCGCTGGCTCTCACTTGCCAATGACCCCTCCGGAGCTAATCAGGGGAGTGGATTTTACCAGTTCAGTCAGCGCTCTTGGTCAAGGACAAACTCCATCGTGCCTAAGCCTTCCCACCAGAACTCCAAGTTCTCACACACTCATTTCTGTGCTTTGCACATTTTTGAGGTAGAAGAAACACGTAGAATTATTGCTGTTTTACAAATAGAAGACGGAGTTGGAAAAAGCTAAATTTCTTGCCCAGAGTTCCATGCTTACCGAAGGGTTATGTCTAGAATCCAAACCTCCGAGCCCACTGGGCTTCCCTCCGGACCACACAGACCGCAACAGTGCAAATGCACTGCTCGCCCCGCTTCCTCCTGCATGGACTGTGCTCCGTCTGCCTCTTTCCCCTTAAATTGGTGGAGCAGTGTGGGAGGAAGTGGGCAGAATAGTTTCACGCCGTTTCTTTTCTTTGCTATGAGGAATATATTAAAAATATATCTTTGTTTTGTGCTTAATGTTTATTATCTCCATGGGTGACATGATGCTATTATCACAGAGATAGCAGGCAATACTGGGAATTATTTCTGCTTCCAGTCAGTAATTGTGCAATTTGCAATGCCAGTTTAGCTTCAGAGTATGTGAAGGTAACGTGGTGTTCTAGAAAGGAGTGGATCACTGGACATAGGCGTGTGTACAAGTATTTTTCCCAGACCTGATCCTTTGTCAATGGCTGGGCAGGAACTCAGGAATCATCTTGGTTCACCTTCTTGCTTAACAGTGGAGGTAGCCGAGGCCAGGAAGATGGAGTGACCTCATGGTAGGAAAGGCCAGAGTGTGTGTCACAAAGACAAAACAGATTCCCTAGCCTATACCATGTGCCACAGTACATTTCAGATGAAGAAGAGATCCTATATAATAAAAGCCTAATATGCAAATTGACTGAACGGTAGAGTGACGGGCTGCTATGACAGGTACTGATCACCAGGGGGCAGACGCTCAACACAGGAGCTGCCCCCAGCCCGCAGGCCCCGACTGATGGTGGCAGGAGCAGGGCTGGTGAGCGGGTGGCGCTAGGCCAGCCAAGGCAGGTGCCAGCAGGAGCCCCCCCCCCCCCCGATCGCCCTGCTGGTTGCCCCACAGATTAGCCTTGATCGCTGGCCAGGCCTAGGAACCCTACCCATGCATGAATTTTGTGCACCAGGCCTCTACTTTAAATATGAAACAATGAAATCACAAAAACATAGAGGAGGTGGAGGTGGCTACATGGATACAAGGTGACAAGCCATTCTTCGTCTGCCCGAAGCATGTAAATAAGGCTTGTGCTGTGGGATTATCCTGGTGGCAGAGTTTCAGGGGGTGTCTGAGTGTCTTCCTATTCCGTCTTCTCCATTATTGTGTGTTTTCCTACCAACAACGTCTGTAACTTATAAAAAGGGACCAGGATAGAAAGTACCAATAAGGAAGCAACTATAATTATATCAGAAATGGCGGTAAGGGAAAAGCAAGGACCAATGTTATACATCAGGACAGTGAATGGCTTTCTACTCCCCACAGGAAGTATTCAAGGGCAATGACCGTGTGTCTATGGGGCTTGTTTGCATTTCGGTTCTGATGAATGGATAACCAAGTCCCTCCCAGGACGCTGCATCAATGTGCGCAGCTGGTTTATGGGTTCTGCCTCCTTTCCATCTCCGTGCCGCCTCTGACAGGAGGCCGAGTCCTGCGAGCATGGCTCTCTGAGTGATTTTCCGCCTTCCACGAGCGCGCTCATAATGGTCAATCTGGTGAGCACTCGGCTGCAGCCTGCTTGGCTGCTCTGCGAGTTTTACGATGCCACCGCCTCCCTCTGAGGGTCTTCTCCCTCCTGGGCTTCTTCGCTGCTGGAAACTGCTCCTGTGCCCTCAGACCTGTCTTTCCAGGCTGCTTGGTGGCTTCCTTCCTTTTCCGTCTCCAGACTATTGGTCTGACTTCATGCTCTCCGGACAATCTTGTCACACTGCCACCTGAACTCCATGTTCTTCCGGGTTTGTATCTTTCTGGCTGGCCTCTCCTCCAGGTCTCACATGTCTCCCTCGATACCCTGCAGGCCCCTCCGATTCCATCTGCCTGAGTGAGACTCATCGCCTCTGTGTGCCGGGTCTCAGTGCCTGGTGTTGCCCAGTGCCCAGGCCAGGGACCTCGAGACAACTGGACCCTCTGTTTCCTTTCTCCCTAGTCAGTCAGTCACCAGCACCTGACGAAGGCACCTCCCACATGTGCCCCTTCCCCTGCGCCCACTGCCCTTACTTGCTAACACCCCATTTCCTATTCAGGTCATTAAAACCACCTACCAGATTCTCCTTGTATTAAGATTCCTCCTCTATTTTTAGTACCACCATAAAAAACAACTTATCAATGTTCATAGCAGAATTATAGCTAAAAAGTGGGAAAATCCCAATATTGGTCAACTCACAGATGGATAAATACATGTGGAAGAGCCTGCTGGGGCTGCGTAACACAGGACCAGGCTGGGCGGCTTAAGCAACAGATCAATTTTTTCACTGTTCTGGAGGCTGGCACTTCAGGGTTAAGGTGCTGGCAGGTTTGGTTTCTCCTGAGGCCTTCCTGCTTGGCTTTCAGATGGCCGCCTCCCCTGGGTCCTCACACGGCCTTTCCTCTGTGTGAGCACATCCTAGTGTCCCTTCTTCTCTTTACAAGGACGCTGGTCCTTTTGGATTAGGGCCCCACCCTATGACCTCATTTAACCTTATTTTCGGCTTTAATGGCCCTCTCTCCAAATAGGGTCGCATTGGGGCTTCGGGCTTCAACCTATGAATTTTTGGGAGGGCACAATTCAGTTCATAACACCCAGATGGGAGGTAGTGCATGGAGCGCCGGGTACGTATTACATTCTTCTTTATGGCCTCAGCTCCCCACTTAGCTAGCTGTTGACCACCATATATTTTTAAAACTTTTTATTTTGAAATAGTATAAAATATCTATAATAATTTAATTATGGACTCCCAGGAAGATGCAGAAATATTACAT